TTTGGGGGGGGGGGGACGACACCCTGTGTGGTCACCCCACGTACCTGAGCCGTGGGACCCCCCCCTGGTTTAGTGGATGGGAGGGTAGCGTAACGTGTGTAATACGGATAGGAGAAGCTGTGTGAGGTGTGTATAGTGTATATTTTTTAAAAAAATAGCTTGCTTGTATTGTGAAGATTTTAAAGACAAACTTGAGAATTCTAGCCTAACTATTAACACAAGTTTAACATCAGTTACCCCACTGGGTTCAGAGCCTCTTGAATGTATATTCCTTTTTGTAACCTAAATGACCTATTCTTCTACCAGTCAGCCAGACATCCTATTTATATTTTTAATTTTATATATTACTTTCCATTTGTTTTCATTATTTCCAGCATGTGTGTTGGTTGGGGGGGGGGGGGGGGGAGGGGGTTGTTTTGTTTCTTTTTTGCACAAGCATTGTGTGAAGTCAAGGAAATGTTAACTCAAACCTGGTATTTTCCAACCTGTTCCCCCTTCCCCTTCCTCTCCACCACACTCCTCTTTTGTTTTGGTTTTTTTTTTTTGTTTTTTTTTTTCTTTTTTCCGCCAACAGTTTGGGATTTTCTGGGCTGGGATGCAGCGGGGTGGGAGGAGGGGGATGGCTATTTTCCATTTGCAGCTTCTGTGCAAATGCCAGGTCTTTTTGCCAGTCGACTAAAAAACGCTTCACTTGCTGGTTGCTTTTAAAAAAAAGAAAAATAATAATGAAATAAAATTAAAAAAAAAAAAGTAACCTTATCAGTCCGACGTAGACCATGGCGGGAGGAGGGGAAGTGCACACCTGTAGCTGCACAACTCTGGCTTTGGCTGCGGATCCTGCCGGGGTTTTGCCGGGCACGAGCCCCGTCCCGGGGAGCCCCGTGCCTTGGGCTCGCTTTTCACGTTGCACACACCCCAAGAGCTGCCTGTTTGCTGCCAGCAAAGCTGTTGCTGCTTTTCCTCTCTTCCTCCTCCTCCTCCTCTTCCTCCTCTCCCCCTCCCGAAGGAGGTCCAGCTCACCAACAAGAGCTCGCCCAGCCGCCGTGGCCCCCCCCCCGTCTTGCTCCGGGGCATCATCCAGGTAGAGCAAAGCCACCGAGGTGCCCGGATGTGGGGGTTTTGTGCCACGGAGAGTTAGTTAGAAATAAAAAAAAAAAAAAACAAACCACACACATATCTGCTGTTTTACTATGAACACTGGTCTGAGGTTTCCAGGCCCAACACCACGGTGATGGGCCACGAAGGATTTAACTAGGGGAATTAAAACTCCTTCCTGCTTCCGTGTCTGGTAGCACCAGCTGGTATGAGTGAATCTACAGGTGTGCGTTTTCCTTCTTGTAGAAAATGCCACGAGCACTAACTGGTAAGGCTTAATGTACAGTATATTGTCAGTATTCTGGTATTCTTCTGGTTCAACATACATTATAGCTCATATATAACCTGTATTAATTGTATAGATTGTGCATTTAAAGCTGTTACCAAGTTGTCAGAAAATAAGAGAAGAGAAAAAAAAAAAAATTAAGGTCATATGTAATATTTTGTTTGTAAGTATCCTTTGTATCATAGCAAAGGAAATGTTAAAAAAAAAAAAAAAATCAACTGTAATAAAGTAATTTTAGTACACGGAGTGTCTGCCTGCCTTTCTGAGCCCCCCCCCGCCGGCGCGTGGGACCCTGCCCCGGGGGCTACCGGGTGTAGGACCTCTGCCAGGTGAAGATGGGGGGCTCGACCATGGGACCCCCCCACCTGCGGGGCCGCGGAAGCCCCTTTTTCCCCTCCTCAGCCCCCAGGAACTCGACCATGGCCCTGAAATACTCCAGCACGGCCTCTTGGGCCCAACAGCACCCCGGTCCCCGCCGGGGGAAGCCGCAGTGTCCCCCCCGGGGGGTCAGCAGCAGGAAGAAGTAGGGGCTGCTGCGGAAGAGCTCCAGGGGCAGGCTGCGGGACGGGGGTCCTCGCACGGGGTCGTCGGCTCCGCAGAGGCACAGCACCGGCACGGCCACCTCGTCGGCGTCCCTCAGGGGCTCGTTGCGTTCCCAGTAGGTCTCCCAACTGGTGGGATGGCTCTTGGTCTGGCAGAAGAGGGCTTCCTCCAGCTCCCGCAGCGAGCGGCTGCCCAGCAGCCCGGCCACGTCCACCGCCTCGGCCAGGGACCCCGCATACCTGTGGGGAGGGGGTGGCCGGGGTGGCCAGGGTGGGCACAGGGCTGGGGGGGGCTGTGCTCTAGCTATAGCTTCAT